CTAATCTCTTTGGAGACATCCCCCTAATCTCTTTGATGTGTGTGTATGTGTGTGTAAATGAGCTATATATCCTAGTCAGACTGCCCTCTTCACTACCACTGTTTCCTCTAAAATCTCCATACTGCTCCCCCAACTATTTCTTCTCCAAGTTTAACGAAATTCTTCCTTATAGCTCCAATAAAGACAAGAGTCAAAAAAAGGTGGGGTAGTGAAAAGAAAGTCTAAAGACCAACATTGGAAGTGGAGAAAAGGGTAAGACAGGGGAAGAGAAGGGCTGAAGAGAGATTAAATACAGATGGGGGAGAGGGAGTGTCAACTAATGAAGAATAAAAATTCCCCAACAGAGACAGACCTTAAAGAAATGAAACAATAGAGATTTGTACAAACCGGAAAGGAAATTTCCTGACCTTAGAGTTCTTTAAGAACAGAATCAAGACTCATCCATTTCAAATCATTTTGTTGTGATCTTGGCTGAAGGCAGGGGATTGGACCAAATAACTTCATTTTTTCAGGGACCTTTCTTATTCTGTGAGTCCATGGGTCAATAAGGAAAAAGAGGAACATGATGATTGAGGTCAGGAAACAAATATAAAGCAATGAACTTGTTAAAATTAAACCCTTAATCTCGTTTTTTTTTAAGTGACAAAAACAATTTTTCTTACATTTAGTGCTCTAAATGGTCAAAATCCTTAGCTAGACTGAACTGGTTTCTTTGGAGCCTCAAATGTTGGTGCATATTCCCCTCTGGTGGACATCTGGGCATATTGCAGAGTTTGAAACGAGTGACTGCCGGAAAATGACAGTTTCCAGTTTCTGATCTGTCAATAAGTCAGCCTTTCACAATGGAAAGAAAAACAAATGAGTGAGAAGAAATGGATTCAGGACTCAGTTCGTTGAAATTAACCAGCCCTTAGAGTCATTCACAGACCAGTCAGGCAAGGGTCTCCTGGGACCATTCTGGACCAATTCTTCAAACCTTGTCAGCCCTTCAGCCTCTGTGTCTACTTGAAAACACTTGAATCATTTCTATATTTATTTTTCCTTCTTCCAGCCTTTTGGTGAACAACGGCTTATACTGATACCCTTTCTATGTATTCATGTGTGTATATATATATATATATATACATATACATATATATATATAATACACACACACACACACACACATATACATTATACCCTTTCTACCTGAAAACATGCTTGCCATTTAATTTCTTAGTTCAATTCAACCAGCATTTGTTAAATGTCGACTATGTACAGAATAGTGAAGGAAGTTTAGATAAGGTTTATTCCTTGGAGACAGGGACCTTCATTTTTGTCTATCTCTAGTGCTTTACAAACAGTAGGCACTTAATAAGTATTTATGGAATTGGATTGAATCTAATTTTCAAATTCAATTCAATGCTATCCAATTCAACAAACACAAATATCCCCAAAGAGCTTATATTCCAGTAGGAAGATGAGAAACAAACATGGATAATTATAATACACAACAGCTTGTAAAAAAGCAATCAAATTAGAAAGGTTTAAAAAAAAAAAAGGAATGTGTATCCTGAGGAGGATTATATAAGGTTTCCTGGATGAAATGGCAAATGAACTGGGATTTAATAAATAAGTAGGAATTTCACAGGTCAGAAGAAGGGGAATAAGAGCACCCCAGGCAGAAGGAACAGCAGGAGAAAAGGCCTAGAAGTGGTTATTTGCAATGGTAGGAGATAGACAGTAGGCCAGTTGATTGAATTGTACAATATATGGAGGAGAGTAAATGAGCTAAAGCTATAAAGGTAGGGTGGGTTACATGTGGAGCAATACTTTGTCATTAAAAAAACACTAAATATAACTTTTTAAAGAATCAGTACAAGAAAGAACTTTGTAATAATGTGGCTTTTCCAGAAATAGAATGGCTTAATTTACTGAGGAAATGAGCTCCCTATTGTGAAATCGTTCAAGCAAAGGCTGAATTCAGAGATATTAAAAAAGGTTTGGAGATTGGACTAAATGACCCCTTGGATCCCTTTCCACTTTAAGGCTGCGGTCCTTGGAATTCTCAGCCTGTCAGCACCAACCCTGACACCCCAGCAGCCTTGTGGAAGGGACCTTCGGCTGGCTTGGATCTTGGCACTACTTATTGCCGTGTGGAATCCTTTCAAATTAGCAAAGCAAAGCTCATGCTAATAACCAAGAAAGCAGGACCACCCCTAGCTACATTGTCTTCACTAGAACAAAAAAAAATTGGCTGATGATGTAAAAAAATCAAGTTGCAACCAACCCCCAAAATGGTTTTTTATGCCAAGCATCTGACAGGCCATAGATCTGATGATGTGGTAGCCATGAAGCAATGGCCTTTCATGATGTAGAATGACACAGGCATACTGAAAGTTTGAATGGAGTACAAAGAGCAGACTAAAAGCTTCTATCCAGAAAGAAAACTTTCTATGGTCTTGACAAAGATAACAGAAATTGCTGAAGCTTATCTTAGGAAGACTGTTACCAGTGTCATGATCATAGCAATAGCCTATTTTAGTGACTCCTAACATCAAACCACCCCAAAATGCCGGCAACACCACTGACCTCATGCTACTTCAAATTACCGATGAGTCAACTGCTGCTGCTATCACTTTTGGTTTAGATGAGAATGTTGGTGCCAAAGGGAATATGTTGAACTTTGACTTTGGAGTGTCGCTATCATAACCATTGGAGATGGTAAGCATCTTTGAAGTCAAGTCCGTAGGTAGCTGGAGATACTCACTTGGATGGAGAGGATTTTGAATGAATGAATGAAATGTATTTATTAAGTGCTTAACTATGCGCCAAGTATACAAATACAAATACAAAAGTGAGAAAGTCCCTGTTCAAAGATATTATATTGGATGGGAAAGACAACACATACAGAGAGGTGAGGCCAAGGGGAAGGAGTTGTGGTCCACCATTGCTGCAGAGCCCAAACTCAAGCACAACCAGGATGTCAGTGAGAACAAGAGGGCCATCCTCCCGTTCTGTACTGCTTGTGGACTTGTGAAGCACACCTTTCCTTCCAATACCCAGGTTAATATTGAGATTAACTCTGCCTAAACTTTTATTCTCTATGCCTACATGAACAGCCCTTTTTGAAACACTGTACATACACTGTGGGAAAGACCCTGAGAGGTGACAAGATGGATAAGTCCCAGGTCCATGACATCATTTTGGTGGTTGGCTCAATTCTAATTCCCAAGAAACTTTTTCAAGACTTCCTTAATTGAAAGGAGCTGAACAAGAACATTTGGAGTATCTCTTCTAAACCCACCACTGAATAACTCATCTAAATGTACTAGTCAGTAAGTCAATAAACATCTGTTAAGTGCCTACTGTGTGCCAGGCACAGTGCTAAGAGCTGAAGATACAAAAAAAAGCAAGACAAACCCTGCCCTCAAGGAGCTCACAGTCTAATGGGGGAGACAATATGCCAACACCTATGTACAAACAAGCTATAAACAGGATAAAAAGGAAATAATCAACAGAAGGAAGGAACTAGTCTTAAGGGAAATCAGGAAAGGCTCCCCTATAGAAGGTGGGATTTTATCTGGTTCTTGAAGGAAGCCAGAGAAGCCATGAGGCAGAAATGAGAAGGGAGAACATTCCAGGCATGGATGGCAGCCAGAGAACACACCCAGAGCTGAGAGATGGAGTGTTTTGTTTGAGGAACAGCCAGGAGGCCTGCGTTGCTGGACTTGAGTTGGTATGCATGTAGCAATCAGGAGCAATGGATAAGGTATAAGAAGACTAGAAAGGCAGGAAAGAGCCAAGTTTCCAAGGGTTTTGAATGCCAAACAGAAGACTATATATTTGATCCTGGAGGTGATAGGGGGATGTCATGGTAGGACCTGAAGATTATGTTGACAGTTGATTGGGTGATGGACTGGAGTAGGGAGAGCTCATCATAATTAAAGGACCCAAATTTGGAATAAAAACTGGGTACAGGAGAAATTTGGAAATCTCATCAGAGCTTTTATGTAATTTCTGGGCTTTATGGATACCTGTGAGACAGAATGGAATAGAGGATAGGTAACAACAGCAACAGCAACAATAATTACCATTTATAGAGTTCTTCAATGCTCACAAAGCTTTATACATATGTTATCTCCTTTGATTCTCACAACGACCCGGTGAGATAGGTGTTATTATTATTATATCCCCATTTTACAGATGAGGAAACAGGATCCGAGAGGTTAAGCAACTTGTCCAGGGTTCCACAGCTAAGTGTTTGAGGCAAGATTTGAACATAGGACTATCGTGATTCACCATTCACTGTACCACCTAACTGCCTTAGAGTAAAGAAAAACTGGGTTCAAGTCCTACCTTTGGCATATACTGTTTCTTTGACCCCAGGCAAGTAACTTAATGGGCCAGTACTCAATCATAGGCAACTGTCCAAAACTATAAGTTGCAGAGGAGGTACTAACTTGCATTGGTAGAGGGTTTTCTTATCTGAAGGTTACCTATTGCATTGAAATTTCTGTTCAACACAATGACCAGACATCATTCCAGAAGGTCAAGAGAGGTGATCAACTCAATACACAAAATATATATGTGTGTGTGAATGTGTGTGTCTGTGTGTGTGTGTATAAATACATTATATAGTAATAATATTGTAGATATTAGATATAACCAATGTGAGAATTTGTTTTGCTTGTTATAAAGGCTTTGTTGTTTGTTTGTTTTTTTAATTTGGAGGGAGATGGAATTTTAAAATTTTGGACTGAGAGAAATAAGTGCTTGTTAATTTTTTAAAAATTGAAGAAAATGACAGATTTAGTCTCTATTTCCATTCCTGTCCTGAGCACTAGAATGTGTACATAGGGAGAGAAGTGAATACTACCCCTTATCTATACTGCAAACAAATAGAAATGTGATTTCCTTTCCCCGAAAATAAAAACCTACTTAAAATTGACATAATGAAAAAAAGCCTATGATTCTACACATAAGAGATTAATTTATTTTTTCTGCTTCCCCTCTTACAGGTAACTGGAAAAAACATCAACTTTGTGATCCTTCTTGTAAAACCTGTAATGGATCAGACATTCTATGCACCTCCTGTCATAAAGGTTAGTGCTGCCCTTAAAAAGAGCTTGACAGCAGAGGGCAGCTCCTATGCTTGTATTCCTCTGGGAGGTCAAAATCATTTATGATAAAACTTCAGACACATCCATTTTTGTCTTAAAAATGTTTATTTAGGTTTTGTATTCATTATTCTTGAGCTAGAGCCCTAAAAATGTGAAATCATATGATCTTAAGGATTTTAAATCAAAAAAGAGACCTTAGAAAGTATTGGCTACAACTCAGTAAGTCTTAGAGAGGTTAAGTGACTTGCCAGGCATTGTTAGCAGAGTCAGGAATCAAACCCAGATCTTTCCATTCTAGTCTAGTGCTCTTCCCACTACACAAAGCTTTTCCCCGAATAGGTGCCTCTTAAATAATCCATTTTCCTCCTCACCCATTTAAATGATTCTACAACTGACTCAGTGAGCTGCTGAGCCTCAAACCAGCTGACTTCTAGGCTATGCCACTAATTGGTGTGACCTTGGAAAAGTCATTCTATGTGTCATCTGTTTCTTCTTCTGTAAAATTAAGAATGAATAGTTTGTTCCTCTGGGTATGGCTTGTTTCTCTCAGCACTCCTATTATCTGAGTGAAAATAAAAATGCCTGGTCATACTCCTCTCAGCTTGTCCTTTTAGAAGTCATCTCTCATAGTCTAATGTGTTTGCAAATGTAGCGGATACCAGCTTTTGCTTCTCTCCTCATTCCCCTGGGGAATCCAAAAATTCTCAAGTAACCTGGCATAAAACCTCTGCGCTTTCTCCCCTACCCCCTTTGCCAGGGGTTGTTAGAACTGTATGGATTAATTTATGATTCCAGGGGCCAAAAAGGTGCCAAGAATTTAGGGGACAGGGTAGTATCGTGCACTGATAGAAAGCAGATATTGGGGAGTGAGAGAACAAAAGGAACAAGCCTTTATTAAGTATCTACTATGGGCCAGGCACTCTGCTGAGCACTTTACAAATATTAACTGTTTTGATTCTCGCAACAATCCTGAAAGATAGGTACTACGATCACCCCATTTTACAGATAAGGAAACTGAGGCAGATAGCAGTTACATGACTTGCTTAGAGTCCCACAGTTAATAAGTGTTTGAGGTGGGATTTAAACTCAGGTCTTCTTGATTCCAGGCCCAGCACTCTTTCCACTTTGCAGCACAGTGAGGGTGGAGAGTGAAGCATGGCTAGAGCTGGCCTAGATGCAATGGGTGACCTGAAGCACTAAGCAATCAAGTTAGTGGAATTTTCAGAGTTTAAAGGATTAAGTCTTTAAAATTAACCCTTGGCCTGGTTTGGAAAACGTACCTGTGCAGGGAAGTTGGCAAGAGGATGCCTGGGATGTTGGATAAATGGATGCTGGATTGTAAAATGCCAATCTGCAGTTTTCCCTCCCTCAGCTTGTGCCATGGAGGCTCTTAGAATACTTTCCCATGGCTTGATAAATGCATGAACTGAAGCACTGATGAAAGCACCATTCTAGTGTTCACATACCTGATCAAGCTTGTGAGACCAATGAGAATAAAAGTCAATGAGGGAATTAATCTGAAGTATGAGCACAGAACTAGCCTTATGCAAAATTATGAAATAGAAAGTTTGTCTTTGAGTGCCTGGGTCTCTCCATTTAGCTGCTTTTCCCACCTTTTTTTATGTGCTCTTTCCATTCCCACAATCCAGCTACCACTGTGAAAGAACTGGATGGGGCAGATAAAGTTATTTCTCCAAGGTCAGACCAGCTAGTGGTAGCCAGTTAGAACTCTTCTGGACGCAGGCTTCTAGCAGATTGGGCCAATTTGGAAGAAATGAGTATCCTTGTTAAATATTTTGGGGTGTCCAAGATAGTACTGTCCCGGATACCATGAGAATTTACAGAAAATTGGAAGACAAGGTTCTGACTCCCATATTCTTTCTATATATATAAATACACCGTTTAGAGCAGGCCTGCACAACTTGCAGCCCACCAAAGGATTTCAGGTGGCCCACAAAAAATGTAGAGGAAAACATCCTCAACTTTTTTAGTAGGCAGCTAGAAATCCTTTGGTGTGGCCAGGGGCCGGAAGTCCCCGCAGGCTACAGGTTGTGCAGGCCTGATTTAGAGTAAGGGTTCTTCACCCTTTGGCAGTCTCAAGTGAAGCCTATGAACAGCTTCTCAGAGTAATGTTTTAAATGCATAAAATAAAACACAGGATTACAAAGAAAATTTACATATCAAAATATACTTTTCAAAAAAAAAGTTCAAATTCCTGGATCCTAGGTTAAGAACTCCTAGAGCGAGGGGTACATGACTAATTTGATTCAAATGTTCTTACATTTTCCCTTTGGTGTGTTTGTAGGAACCTATCTTTTCTCTCAGTCCTGCATCCCTTCCTGTCCCCAAGGAACATGGCCCTCAGAGAAGAATGGGAGATGTGAGAAATGCACAGAGGATTGTGAGTCCTGCTCTACAATGAATAACTGTATGAAGTGTCTGTCTCGGCCAGACCACCCACTCTACCTGCACCATGGCAGGTGCTACACGCAGTGCCCTGAGTAAGTACAACTCTGTGTGTCTGTCTGTCTGTGTGCCTGTCTGTCTGTCTGTCTCTGTCTCTGTCTGATTGTTTGTATATGTGTCTCTGTGTGTGCTTCTCTGTCTGTCTCTGACCGTCTGTCTGTCTGTCTTCCCCTTTGGCTCCCCACATTCCCCTTTTAAAATTCATTTAAGCTTCTTCCTGGGAAATGCCTTCTTCGAAACTTCTGTCTCCCTTGGAAAGGCCACCCATATCATCACTGCTGGACACATTGTGGTCACACAGAGTCCCAAGTACATCATAGACAGCACGCCATTGTATTTCTTTAAAACTTGGGCTCTCTCCACTTTGAACTAAAGTTTCATTCAAGCATCTTCAGCATTTCTTCTCCATTGCCAGCCAGAGTCATGCGGTTGTCAGGAAAGTGCCGCCCTTGGGCCAGTGCTTTATAAACCCTAGAGCACAATATCAATGTGAGTTATTGTTGTTCTTAAATGAGGAAGAACCCCTGGGGGAGTTCAACATGGTGAGTATAAGTGATGACTATAGCTGGAGGGGTAGGAATTTGAATTTTTTTCCAGATTTGTGGTTTCATTGATGAAGGGAGCTCTCAGGGAGGGGCTCCCTCTGCAAATGTAGATTAACAATTACTATCCAATTTACAGTCTTGGGGAGTTGCTTAGAGTGGAGCTGTCAAACATGCATCTAATGCTGCCCAGTGAACCCCAACTAGATTAAAATGTAATTGGGAAATATTTGACATAATAAATAAAAATACTATATCATATAGACAATGCTAATATGTGGTTTTCTAAGTCAATATGCAGCCTGCAGGGATCCTTATGTACAGTTTAGTGTCCCCCATTTCTATTTGAGTTTGATACCACTGGCCTAGAGCACTTGAGAAGTTAAATGACTTACCCAAGGTCATGCAGCCTGTATATATCTCAGGCAAAATTTAAAGGTCAGTCTTCCTCTACAATTGTGGATTGGCACCTGCTCTGTGATTTACAGTCTTACAGAGTAGCCTTGAGCACTGAAAAATTAAGTAACTTGCCTGAGTCACACAGCCAATATGTAAGCTTCCTTGACTCCTATATCCTTGTCATTATTAATAACTCACAATTGTATAATACTTTAACATTTTTTCTAACTCCCTTCTTCATCACAACCCTGTGATGTGGTTGGTACATGTATTATTATCTCCACTTTCAGGATGGGGAAACTGAGGCTCTGAGAGATGTAGGGACTTGCCCATAGTCATATAGCTAGTATCTGAAGAAGGATTCAAACCCAATTTTCCTGGACACATGCAGCATTTATTCCACTACACCATTCTGTACTTACTATCCTGAGCAATATAGTTCATCCTAGGTTCCAGAAAAAGTAAACACTTTTAAAAACCCTCAAATGATCCTATGTTTGTAAATAAACTCAGGAGACATTAGTTTTGGCTTTTCTCTCTTTCAATGATAACATTTCATTCTTTAACCTCAGCACTGTTTGCACCCAGTTTATGACTTAAAAAGCCCATTTCCTGTTCATAAGGATTTCCTCTTTGGAATAAGACCCTGCTATTTTGGCCCCAAGCCCTACCACATCCCTGACTCATTGACTACCTGGAGGTAAAGTCAAGAGGTTCGAGAGTCTAAGGTCCTACAAGAAAAGCTGCAGGAGTAATGAGCAGCTATGTGATTTCTGACTCTATTCAGGGGCATTTCTGAGGTACAGATGAGCAACCACCTGTGAACCCTCAGGCTTGTTTGAAGTCAATTTTTTAGTCAATATTGCAACCCTTTTTTCAACCTGTGATATTCAACCTTAGACTTGTTGCATGAGTAGAGACAGGATTCCCAGTTCTCTCCTGCCCTCATTTCTAGGGAACAAATATAAAACTCATCTTTAGATTTTCAATTAAAAAAGTTACAAGGAAATAGATTGTTGTTGTACAGTCATGTCCAACTCTCCATGAACCCATTTTGGGGTTTTCTTAGCTTCTCTAGCTCATTTTATAGATGAGAAACAGCCGAGCCAGATTTGAACTCATGAAGATGAGTCATCCTGATTCCAAGCCCAGGGTTCTATCCACTGAACCACCTCGGTGCCCCAAGGAAACATATAGTAGTTTTTAAAAGGTACAATTTGGGATAGAAAAGAGATAAAGCTGTAAGAAACTTTAAAAATTACATTCTTTAAGGAAATCTAAGTAGGAGGCTAGTTAGGTTTTATCCTTCTTAGCATCTCCCCTCTTTCATTAGCTAATCCTGTATTTCTTGTCCTGGGAGTTGTACCCTCTCCAGGCCTGTTTGGGTTGGATGCTAAACCAAGATCTCAGGTTCCCAGCTCAAAGAACATTGAACATTCAGATAGGCATGAACTGCTAAGCTTCTCAGCACCTAGGGGATAGGGAACCTGTGGCCAGGAGGCCACATGTGGCCCTCTAGGTCCTCAAGTGCAGCCCTTTGACTGAATCCCCTTAATAAAAGGATTTGTTCTGTGAAATTTGGATTCAGTCAAAGGGCTGCACTTGAGGACCTAGAGGGCTACATGTGGCCTCCAGACCGCAGGTTCCCCACACCTGTAACCTGCCTTCTAGTCTTACCTTTTGGAATGGATCCTCTGGTATAGGATTTAATTTCTCTATTTGCCCCAAGAGTCTTTCTCTGAGCTTCAGGCCATCCGGCACTGATGCTGAACCCAGCTGATTCTTCCTTCCTATACATCTTAGGGGATTCAATCCTTGAATATTCTATCCCTACCCAGAGATATTTCTCTCTTCTTCATTTTACAAAAAAAAAAGGATTTGTATGGATGATTTTTGTTTTTATATCACCTAAATTTCCTTCTGTATCCTTCCCTCTCCCCATTCCAGAGAGCTATCCCTCATATTTTTTTAAGAAAAGGAAAAAAGGATTAAGTGAAAAATTCTAACAAAATCAATACATCAAAAATACGAAATTTTTTGTAATATTCCACACAAATGGATCCCTCACCCCTACAAAGAAGTGGGGGAAGGGTCTTCTCATATCTTTTTGGAGATTCAAGCTTATTCTTTAAAATGTTCACATCATTCATTTTGGATTGTTCTGAGGACTGTTTATTAGCAGACATAATGTTTCCCTGACTCTGGTTACTTCACTTCAAATCATTTCACGTAAGTCTTGTCTTCTTTCCCTTTATTTCTCGTGTTCATTGCATCTTACAGCATAGTAATGTTCCTTTATATTCATGTCCCCCAATTTGTTTAGTTATTCCACCATTGATGGACACCTACTTTGTTCTCAATCCTTGGATACTACAAAAAGTTTTCCCATAAATGTCTGACCTACTACCCAAAGACCTCAGACCTTTTCAATCACCGTACTAATGAACCCTTAGGATTCTTGTATGTGTCATCTTCTCCAATTAGAGTGGGAGATCTTGAGAACAGGAACTGTCTCACTTTTTCTATTTGTATTTCTAGCAATTAACACAGTATCATACATTAGAAAGGACTTAATTTTTTTTTTCATTTATTCACGTGGGTTTCTTCTGTCTGTCACCATTGTTCAGGGACCCCAACACCCCTCTAATAGCATTCTCCAGAAGCCAGAATCAAATTTCCTTGTCTTCCTGTTATCAAACTCTCAAACAAATCTTTCATTATTGCTGTTAAGTCATTGGCCCTCGATTAGTTCAAAAGTAGATTAAGCATTCCAGATATACTTTGGGCTCATGGAATAAAGAAATTCAGAACATCAGCCCTCCTCATTTCGCAAGTTCTCCTTGATGACTCATGATGACTTGAGTTCTCCAGAGTCTTCCAGATTCTTGTTAATTTCAACTTTTTCCCTAGAAAAGAAAGTCAATAAAAATACAGATGATTCCACAGACAGCAACAAGACAGATCATTTCCGTCAGCATTCAGATGAAGGTGTTTTCCTGATTCTGTCTATCATCCATATCATCATGGTTCTCCCTGTTGGCTCAGAGAGAGCTCTGCTCCTTTAATCATATTTTTCATCAGGTGTGCTTAGAACCAGTTACTGCTGCTTACTAAGGCCAATTCAGTGAGTTAATAAATAAACTTTAATAAGTGACTAAGTGCTAGGCTAGGCACTGTGCTTCCATTTTTAGGTGAAGGGGCTGGTCTCTCATTTTCCGAATAGGTAGACAGGGAACTGAGGCTTAAAAACAGAATGGAATCACATGATTGCAGAGTTAAGCGAACCTCAGAGACCGTCTCATCCAACCCATAACTCACCAAGAATTCCCTCTATGATGTTACTGGCAAAGGTCTTCCACCCTTTTGCTTGATAATCACCAGTGAGAAGAAATCTACCCAGCTCCCAAAGGAGAGTGTTCCACTCTCAAGACTTAAGGTATTCCTTACCTGCAGTAGAGCTTCAGTCGGCCTCTCTGCCACTTCCCATTACTCTTAACTGCCCTCTGGGGCCAAGCAGAACTAGGCTTACCTAACTTCCATGTGATAGTCTTTCAAATAGTTGAAAACAGCCATCATGTCCTCCCTCAACATTCTCTTTTCCAAGCCAACATCCCCATTTCCTTCAACTGATCCTTCTATGACACCATCTCTCACCCTCTCACTAGCCAGGCACTTTCTTCTGAATAGGCTCCAGCTTAACTAATATTATTCCTAAAATATGATGTCCAATACTGAACACAGCATTCCAGATGTGCTCTAATAGGACCAAATACAGTAAAACTATCACTTCTCTCCTTTTGTTTACTCTACAGAGGATAGAGCTCTATGTCTGGAATCAGGAAGACCTGGGTTCAAATCTGGCCTCAAACACTTATTAGCTATGTGACCCAGGGAAAGTCACTTAACCTCTGTCCACCTCAGTTTACTCAAATGAAAAATGGGATTAATATTGGTACCTACCTCCCAAAGTTGTTGTAAAAATCAAATGAGATATTTATAAAGCACTTAGTACAGTACCTGGAATGTAGTAGGTACTTAATAAATGCTTTTTTCCTTTCTTTTAATGCAGAGGATAGCATTAGATTTTTTTTTTG